AAGCCGAGAAAACTGATTGTTCTAAGGCCCCATTGTGTACATCATTTGCAGCATGATGATTCCTCGAGATGGAGCGCGGCCTAATGTCCGCTCGAAATGATATCTGGTCGGGTCGGAGCATCTTTCTTTCTCTCTCTATCTCTCGTGTGGCGCGTACAAAAAGAAATTCAAAGGAGCAATTGTGTTTTGTAGCTGCTGCCGTACAGCATGTAAAATTGGACATAATATTTGCACTCTTATGCCGCCTTGATGATGATGGCGTCCATTGTTTTCGCGAAATCTAATTTGTCAGATGATATCACTGCGAGCGCTGCATCTCCACATCGCGAGCATGATTAATACCAGAACATGCGAGAAATGCGAACAAGCGGAGAACACACTTGTGCCCTCGTGGATAATAATTGCAAGTGTGCATGCGGTCGTATATTTTTAGTGTAATAATATTTCGTCCTGTTAAAACGGAGCGGTGAAATTGAATAACAGCATTGTTGGGTTTGGTCATTTGTGGCGAGGGAAATTTCGTATGAGTTGATTTCAAACATATATCTATGGAAAACCAGGCAATTGTGTAAAATTTAAAAAAAAATAGCCTCTTGTGGTGTCGAATGTTATTACAAATTAAGAAAATTTAATTAAAATAGTTTGGCAAATTGAAGACAGTTTGTATCACACAGTAATTTCTCAATTTTTCTTTAAATTTAATTAAAAAAATAATTATTTTTAAATCCGAGTTTACGTTAACGTAATCTTAATCTCTCATGTTAAATTATATTGACATTACTTGCAAAAAGACAATATCAGGAAAATGATGAGTTAGTTTTGTCTGAAATTTTAATAGAACCGGCAAGTTATAAACTAATTGTTAATATTTGATAAATAAAAAATTTAAATAAATTTTAAAAAGAATTAGACACATTTTTTTAAGGTTTGTGAATCATTGAAAGGTATCAAAATTTACCTACATTATTTGCATCTTAACAATTATAATATTATTATTAATAAAAACAACTTTTTTGCAATGAGGAAAAGCCCGATTTCTTCATTTCCAATTGTAATATTGACGTTTTTCCTAATAGTAATTTAATTTGACAAATTAATTTGTCTTAAAACACTTAAAAAATAATCTGCTTAATGAATTTATTCAAAACCTGACTTTCTCACATCCTCATTCACGGTTCCCTTTTAAGTCTTATCAGGAAGAAACCGCACTTTAAAACTAAACAAACCGCTTTTACATCCTCCCAAATTAATGTTCCTGCCGCTCTCATCTCATCTGGTCGCACCAAGAGCGTTAATCTATCGCGAAAGAATGACTTCTTTTTCAATTAAACACGAAAAGTGTGAGAAAACGGGTATAATTGCCGTTCATTAATACTGGAAAACACACATACCAAGAGAAAGAGAGACACGCGGGCTTATATATAAAAGTTGTTAAAAACCACCCCGGGGGATTGGCTGCAGCTTCTATACTCGTCGACATGTCGGGGCACTTTTTGCACTCGGTGGCCTGCTGAGCGAGCGATTTAAGCAGATGCACTCGCCGAGCTGCATAATATTACATTAACGCGAGCCGCACGTCTAATTTACCTATAATTTCAGCGCATCTCTCTCGCGTGTTTAATGAACTTCTTGTCTCGCATTGAGTTTCATTCTCACTTACACAGGCTGGCGGGCATCGCGGAGATGAATTTAAAATTGCATGCCGAGCCGATGTCAAATATATAATTCAAGTTCACCGGATTCCCATGCATGGGCTAATTAGAAGCGCGGGGACCACGGCCGGTCTCTGTGCAGCCACGTCATAATGCAACCTGTTTTTGTCCTCTGCGCTGCATATAATATGCTGTTAATGTATTTATGTGTGCATGCGTTTCGCTGAAAAAAGCGGCTGGCAGTAAACTTCTCTGCTTCGAGTATATGAGCGAGTGTAATTAAATTTATTATCTCGGCGGCGGTAGAGGACAAAGTGTGTGAGTGCAGCAGCGGAGGATGATAATGGTTCGCGGGCACTTTTCTTTCGCATGTGTAACAGTACAATTTTATTTAATTTTAATTGTGCCCGGTCGTCCGGATTGCAGCTCATTCCGCTCCCAGCTAGCTTTTCGTAGCTGGACTCTAAGCAGCTTGTTACCAGCAGATTTTCACAGATGATCGTAGAGATATGTTTGCTCCTTGCTATATGTACAGTGAGAGTCGCCAAAGGGGCTTTCGATACGCGCTCAGCAGAGTGCCAGATTGTGTTTTATTAATATAAAATGTACATTGTAAGTGGTAAACCTAATATTTATATGTTTGATATTTCATACAAGCACCAAAAGGTTTACAACCTTGATGCTGTTTGAAAAAATATAAAAAAATTATAAATTAAAATTACAAAGACAAATCATTTTTTTTTCATTTCCTTTTTGCCTTGTATTTTTTTTCCTTTTTGAACATCACTTGCGATTAAAATTGAATTCTCTAAGCATTAAAAAGGTGCAGGTGAGCAACAGTGAGCAATGCAATATGGCTTTTGTGTCTTGTGTTATGTTTAATTCGTAATATCACAACAGTAATTTCTGAATTTGCCTAAAGATTATTTCAGCGATGGGTTCATAATATTACAAAAATGCAGCTTTATTCCTCTAGCATTTCATTTGTTTTTAATAACTTATAAACATTGCCTATAAAAATATCTTTAATAAATGATTAACATATTAATTTAAAAGTTTATTAATTTATTATTACATTATTATTCTATTTATTAATTTTATTAACGATTTTTTTACATTATAGTTTTACTTTACAATAATTTGTAATTAAGAATTCTTCTTTTAAAAATATTTAAAATGTAACGTAGAAAAGAAAACAAATATATTTTTTATTGTTTCGAAATACAAAAGACTGAAAGGGTATGTTATTTGGAAGCAAACCTCCTGTGGAATCAAGTGTGGGGTAAAGTAAATTCTTATTAAAAAATATAAGATTGAAGTTAAAAATATGAATTTTCACAAAAAAAAAAAAAATATGTATCCTATCTTTAGAAAAAGAGGTTCAAATTCAAATTACAAGCATTAATTTCATTAAATTAGCTGCACAAACTTTTAATATTTAAAATAAATACTTTTGATTTGAACACCCTCACAAAAGGAACTGATCAATCAAACTCTAAATTGGCTTAATTGATTAATTTTTAGCGTTGCTTCATTTCAAAAAGTATAATTGCAAACGAGCTGCAAGGAATTTTCGTATCAAAATTCTGTTCTCTGGCCGAGTTTTATTGTGATGATGATTTCAAGTGGAATCCATTACCACACTAGTTTTACTCGGCGTTAATCGCTGTTTATGCCAACACAATTTCCAAACACCACAAATCTCGGCCGCCATCGCACAAACAAGAGGCACGGCGATTATATTGCCGGATCGCGCGTATATGAGGCTTAATGCTCTGCTTTATGTTTTGACATAATATGCAACACACGGCCATGTAAATTATTAGCACTAACGACACCATACATTTGCGCCGCGGCTGTCTTAACAAGGTGGTTATTTGTGTTGTGAATTTGCTCGCGTTTTATCCGCCGCGGCGTGCATAATGCGGGATTAAATCCTTTTATTGCGAGCAAGAAGAGCCGCACTTAATGAAAACTTTTTATATTTTCAATTTACCTCGTAATTTATAATCCTCGCAATTAAAAGGTTATTCATATGTACAATCTCTTTTGATCTTTAAAAGGAGCGAGAGAGCAGTTAGGCGTCGAGAGATGCACTTTGGACGGATGATTTTATTAGATAAGTGGGGAAGCGTCAGGAACCGTGTTTTTTAAGAGGCAATAAATTAAATCGCAGCAATAAACGTTGATTTATTCAGCCGCGTTGCACAAAACAAATTTTTATGTACGAATCCATCGGGTGCATCACTTAAACTAGCGTTTTCCGGAGGTTGTAACTTATCGGTATCTCGTTTCACCTAGCATAGAGGAGTGGTGCGCAGAGGTCACACCCTGGAAACTATTTTCGTCATAAACGTGTCCAAATAGCCGGATCCGCTCGCTAAAGTGTTAGAAAAAAGTGGTGCCTTCAAAAGAGGCCACCACGAAAAACGGCGCAGCTTGATGATTTATCAGACGCATTTTCAGCACCTTTTCTAAATCAGGAAACGCAAAAGCCGCCGAGACTAATTACAAGGGAACATTCATTCATGGATTTAAACCTGAATGGAAATTAATCTGGTAATAAGGTCAGGCTATATTTTGACGGCCCGAAGAAATTAGCACGCATTATTTTTATACACAGACAGGTGCTCTCTGCGCGAAAATCTGATCCACATCGCATGGCCGATAATTTTAAACAGTTATAGCTGCGCGGAGTTTGATTGCCCTCTGATGTATCGCATCCGCGTATTTTCGCCGGTAATGAGAGTCAATCTATCCGAACCGCAAAAAACAATCACCAAAAGTGTATACACATGACCTGGCGCGTCCGATTGCTTCCTTAATAGAGACCAAATTGCCACAGAGAGGTCCTCCTCTCTTTGCGCAATATAAACCGGCAGTTTGGCCAAGACGGATTCGAACGCATTATCTATCATTAAAATAATTACACATGCTAAAATATTAATAGCTCCGCTCGGTGTGTCATTTATGTGCAGTTTTGTACATTTTTGTAACTGCCTGTCAATTTTTTGCCGCTGTGTTGATGTTTCGCCTGCAAATGACGTAATGCGTTCGAGAGCCACTTAGGAATTTAACCGACTCCGCGAGAGGATAATGAAGACTTCAAGTATTGGAAGAGCACAAAAAAGAAGTTCTGCACTCTATCTTTTCGAGAAAATTGCTAAATTTGTCCAAATTTTTTTTGCTCAAAACTTGATAATAGAGAAAAAAAATTATATTTGAGCCAAGTATTCAAGAACCACAAAATTTGCAGTTTCAGCTCCGTTGGGAAGATTGTTAGTAAAAGAATTTGCTTTTTTTTAGTTAAAGTGAAAAGTCGTTTGAGAAATTTGCAAATTTCCCTACCTGGTGAATGCTTGGCTCATACATGTCTTCGGACGAGGGTGGCCACTGCTGGCCGTTGTTTGGCCGGACACCTTGCCTGGCCCACAGGGCGGCTGCTGCCTTACTCACCTAAAACACAAACAAGTTATCGGTCAATTAATTATCTCGGTTCGTTGAGTGAAATAATTCACAATATTTATTATACAAAAAAAAAAAATCGTTTAAATAAAAAAAGGGAATTATTTAGAAGAGTCGTAAAATGACACACAGAGATTTCCTGCTAAATCCACGTGCAGCCAATTAAAGTCCACTTTGGCCAGCAATTTTCCCGTTGCCGATTTTTTCCTACAAGCAGCCATAAAAGTGCAGGCCGCCACACGAACTTATTTATTTTCAATAATGCGGGCATGTTTCCAAATAATTAAAGCGTGCGCGGTCCACGAAAGGATCGAAAAAAAAGGCTTTTTTGTGTATTTGTTTCAGTGTTTGGAAAATTCGAGCGGCGGCACGCGAGAAGAAAACGAAGCTGCGAGGAAAGCACGAGGAGCAGCGGCCGTAAACTGATAAATAATGGTGTGAACTGCATGGCGCAAAACGTGCCAAAGCCTGTGGTCACGTAAAGAAATGACACGCGTCTCCAGCTCTACTTTATTGGTCGTCGTCATGCTCTCCTTGAGTTGGCCATAACTTTTAAACAACCAACAGCTTATCTTTGTTTTCAGGAATCAGATAAAAGCATTTTGCATTATAAAACTTAATAATATTTGATTCTAATAATTCATATATTTTGGGGTGAATCAATTTCACAGAAACAGTGTAATTAGTCTTTAAAGTAATTAATGATATGCATTAAGTTTTATTTTTGGATAATTCATAAGGAGTGTTATTGAACCTCATACATAATAACAAAACAAGCACACACAGGTAGTGAAGTAATTGTGTAAATTTGTGTTTATCTATTTTACGAGAGGGATAACTATTTATTTTTTATTTATTTTACTACAGTTCAAAATATTTCTTTTGTGCATTCAAGACTAGCCTAGTTTTAAATGAAAATAAATAAAAACAATAAAATATATAAATAAAATATAAAAAATAATTTATAATATTGTTAATGTTTTTATTAATATATATATAAAGGAAATAATTTATTTGAAATAAAAAGAAAAGAAATTTTTATTATATTATTTTAAGGAGTTGATGTTGCTTTTTGTAACGCGTGGGCAGCGCATCCTCGAGAACAGACCGACAATTAAACTTTTCTCAGAATGGCGCCAATTTGTGCCTCAAATCTATAATTACGAGCACTCTTTCATCTCTCGTATCAATCCCAACAACGCACCGTCCTAATTGTACGACTATAGAGCTCTATACATTAATGCAACCTCACCTCTTTGTTAATGGCACCATTTTCGCGTTCATCTAATCTCGTTTCCCCGACAATGAGCCGCCGCCGCGCGATGAGCGGAGGATTTTTTCAAGCTCGGCCGAGCATGAAAGTGTGGGCGTGTGTATAATTCCCCTTGCCGCGGCCAGTTTTATATAAAAAGCAGCTCGGCGATTGAGACGTGACCAGAAGATACATACTTGAGCAAATCCGAAACCGAAAGTATGAAGCAAAATTTCCCCAAAGGCTCAATTTCGCTTTAGTTAAAATCATTATGATATTTTGTGATAATAATTTTTAAAGCTTTTATTCTTTTGACCTCTCATTTCAAAGAGGTTGTGCTGGGATAAGATAAAAAATGCTGATAAATACAGAAACAAGAAATTTCAATTTTATTCACTTAAGGTGGTTTTGGTGAATCATTGGCAGATCCAGTTTCGCACATTTCTTTTTTATTATACACATTGCCGTGGCAGGTTTAACTGATATCATAAATAATGGATGGTGCGCCGAAGATAACTGCGCCCGTCTCCGGGCACTTTCCCATACAAATTCAACCGCGAGGGGGTTTTAATTTATTTAAATGAACGTGTCGGTCTCATTCCCGCTCTTGTTTATTGCTCGCTGTGCGAAAATATTACGAGTCCGGAGCACGCACCAGAAAGAGATAGAAAGCATTTCTCCTTTTTTTCTTTCTAAAATATTGTATTAAATTTTGATTTCGTGAGATAAGCTCAGCAGTCCGATATAATATATAAATCCCTTTTACAGTCATTTTCCGCCGATATTAAAGCTCATCACTTCGTCCGAGGCAATAAAATGTGAATTTTACCCCGCAATAAAATAGAGACTTCTTCATCTTTACTAATAAAACGGATTTTTTCCAACTCGGCGGGATAAAATCTTAAAATCAGAGCAGAAACGCACGAGTTTTTTTTGTTTTTGTCTGGTCGTTTTTATACGTTATTATTTTTTTTCGCCGACGATAAACGTGCTAAGAGCCGCTAAATGCGCGCGCGGGGAAAGAGCTGTAAATATATAGATACGATTATATGGAGGGAAAAAAGAAGCATCACGCTATATCTGTGAAAGAGTATCCCGGTGCTGCTGCCGAGAGACGATTTGCATTCGTAATGCGAGGTTTCGAACTCGTTTGACTCAACCTCTAGGGCAAATATAATAATTTTCAGGACATTTTCCCAAGAATGTTGCTCTTTTATTATACGCGTGCTCTCTGCTCAGAGATATTTATAAATGCCTTTTGATCTCGCGGGGCATCTCAGATATCGATAGCACGGAAATCAAAACAAAAAAGACCGGGCCATAAAGTGATTTCATCCCGCTGCAATATATTTATGATACAGTTCGACGATTGCCCAATTTTTCTATAATTTTTATGACGAAGTTCATCGACACGCTGCTGCACTGATTGGTGTCGTCAAATCCATTTAATGACGCATCACCAAAGGCGATTTTCTTTCTTCAGCTCTGACAAAAATGCATTTGAAATTTATGTTTAATGGTAATAAAATTGCCCTTCATTCATCTCGGAATAACGCCTCTGACCAGGCCACTCTTGGAATATCTTTGAATTGTTTTAAATAAAATCAGTTTTTGTTATTTAAATTAATGCAAATTAAGTTAAGAATATTAAATTAATCCCATGAAATTTTCTTAACCCACAAATTATGGCTGGAAATTTGATCAAAAAGAGCTCAAATAATCCCATTTTTCTGCTTCAAACTTTCTTGAATGAGATTTTCAATAGTTTTGCTCTCTGAAAACACACAAAAATTGTGTTTATTTATTTTTATCAGAACTTATTCTTCTCAGAAGATCAAAATCAAGATATATTCTCTCTTCATTACCCAAATAAATGAATTTTTCTTAACATTATAATGCTTATTTAAGTAACTTTTTTCCTTTATTATTATTACTCATTATTCATAAGACTGAATATTCGACAAACGCTGTCTCATAACTCTGACGAAGTTGTTGTAGTTTATTTAGCATTTTCGCTGCTCGTCTGGCTCGTTATCGACAGAGCGTGCGGAAGACATTCGCTCGATGGAAGGGTAGGCAACCGGCATTACCGAATGGTATCGCACCTGCGCAGCACATAAAAATACCATTCAGGAAATTTAAATGTCCCATAAAAGATAATCTGCGCGTTGTTGCGCGGCATTTTTGGCCGAAAATCTCTTTTCGGAATGAATTTATAATACAAAAAGAATTTCAAATTCAAATCTCTTGGCGGCAAGCCTGGGAATTTGGAGTGGTGAATTTTTATGTCCCTAAATAACTGTTTGTGCGTCTCTTTCCGCGTCCGAACGGACCGAAGGCGTTTTCACTCCTTTTATTTTATTACACATACGCCTATAAAAATTCAAAATTGACACTTTAATTACAAATCTAATAAGCTCGTGGGCAGCAGATGTGAATAAATAAAATATTTATATGCACACCTCCGTCCGTGTCTGCATGGCAGTTTACGGTCGCACTCAATTTGCGTCTGGAAAATGCGTTATTATTCATCCCCAGATAATGGAGAAACGTTTTCTCGCTGAAAAAAAAGGTTTCTCTCCTAGATATGCTAATCAGCTTTATATTGGCATTAGTTTTCTGCCATATTTATCTTGCTTATATGTGAAGGTGTTTGCTCCTTTTGCATATAAATATACATAAGAGAGCTCTTTTCTCGTCTCGAGAGTGGCTTCAGGGCAAACATCCACTCCGATAGATAACCTGAGCACGCCGTTCTAAATATCTGCTGCCTCAAATAATGGCGAGTTATTCGCATCGGCGTGGAAAACGCTCGGGCGGGATGACACTGCGCGTCTGTCAGGCCTTTCTACGTGAGCGCACTCAATAAATAGCGCGATAAATGCACAAATGCGCCGCCGTCTCGCTGATAGCGCGCATAACATTATTTGATGAGAGATGTGCGCTGATTAGGAAAGGTGCCCTCGATCTCGAGTTCACTTTTCTTCCAGAGGTGACACATTCTCTTATTTCTTTAAAATAACTATGAATATAAAATTACAATTTACCCGTGGTTACATAATTAGAGTAAAAAATTTTAATTCTCTCCCAATGTGACATTTTTATTATTTCTCTGTAAGATTTGTTGCATGAAAAAGCATAAAAATAAAATCTACTCAATATTTAACACAAATTACTTTTTTGTCATGTTTTATTTTCTATAATGCATAAATTGTACTTTTTATTTAACAATATAGGGTGCGTCCAGGAAAGATTTGAGGGTAAATGTTAAAAATTTTTCTTGAAAACATGCCATTCCAATTTTCAAGTATGTTGTTGGGGTGGTCAAGAGGCCTCGCTCACCAAATTTCCAAGTCAAAATAAGGGGTGCTTTTCCGGGAAATCAGATTTTTCCAAAAACAAAAAATATGAAATATCTTTGCTCCTATTGAGAAATTATTAATGATCTTTTCACTTCCAGACGTAACTTTTTACGCCCGACAACTTTTCTGTTGACAACTTTTGCGTACGTCAAAGGTCAAGGTCACTAAATTGCAAATTTCACTTTCTGACGCAATTTTCGCAAAGAAGCACCCCTCAGAAATTTTTCGCAGTATAGGAAAAAATGTAGCCCCAAGTGTGTAGAACAACATTCTTGATTTCCAGAATGGCATTATTTTTAGTTTTTTAATTAATTTTAAATGAATATTAAAAAACAGTGAAAAATCGCTTTTCCGCAATAGAAAGTAATTTTCAAACA